GGCCTCATGAATCCAGTGTTCTGTAGGGATCAGTGCGTTACAGAGGCAGAGTTGTTTGTGAGCTTTACTTGAAGTGATTGTCACACAGAGGCAGTGTTGTTGTTGACTGCTGTTCAATGATTGTTGCAGGAGAGCAGAGGCAGTGATGTTGTAAAGTACAGAAGAAGAGGAAGCGGCGGTGGAAGCATCTCAGGACACGTGACGGATGATTAGAAACGAATCGACCAATAACAGGGCTTCAAGATCCAGGTGCCGGACGTGAAACAAAAACATGGTTCTTTGTGAAATGCTCAACATTCTCAATACTTCTGAAATGCATTTAGCTAAAAATACATGTTTTTCTTAGTGAATCGTTATTTTTGGAAATCTCTTTTGTAGATCTACCGTCTACAGTTAATTTTGATATTCTGCGAAAAATCAATTGTCCAGAATTAATTGAGCGTAGAGGACAGGATGGGCTATAATACACCAGGAGTTCCTTCAAATAGTGGGGAGTTAATCTGTTCAGGGCTTTGTAGGTAGTCAATAAAATTTTAAAATTGATATGATATTTAATTTGGAGCAATGCAATAATGAACGAACGGAAGAAATATGATCATATTTCTTTGTTCTGGAAAGCACGCCAGCAGCTGCATTTTGAACCAGCTGAAGTTTGTTAATTAGACCAACAGGGCAACCACCTAGTAACGCATCACAATAATCTTATTAAGTGACCATGAGAGCATGAATAAGCTTTTCCGCATCATACATTGATAGCATATGTCGAAGTTTGCCAACCTTTTTTTAGATGAAAAAATGCAGTTTTACAATTGCTTGAAATCTGGCCTTCAAATGACAGGTTGCTATCAAAAATCACCCCCAAATTTTTGACTGAAGATAAGGACTGAACTAAGAATCCACCAAGGGTTAGGCAGTGTTCTAAGTTTTTGCATGTGAAGTTTTAGGGTCCAAAAAGCAAGACCTTAGTTTTATCTGAATTTAGTAATAAGAAGTTATTAGTCATCCAATTTTTTATATCAGCTATAAAATCTGTTAATTTCATCAATTCATACAAGTTATCAGGTTGAGAGGAGATATAAAGTTGTGTATCATCAGCATAACAGTGGAAGCTAACTCCATGTTTTTTAATGATATCTCCTAGCAGTAGCATATATGGTGTGAATAGTAAGGGGCCAAGAACTGAGATTTGTGGTACCCCACAGTGTACTTTTGATCTGTATGATGTCTCTTCATCAACCGATACAAATTGATTATGTTCAGACAGATAAATCCTGAACTAGGCCAATGCAGTTCCAGTAATACCAACAGAATTATCAAGACCAGTAAGGATAATATTATGATTGATTGTATCAAATGCAGCACTGCGCTACGCCACTGGGTAAGGTTCTTTTGTAAAGTTGGTGTGGTGCCCTGAAGGCCTATATACAGTTGCTAATATAAATTTAGATAGAAATGTATTGTTTATACAGTATTGCACACGGAAACAACACCATTAATTCATTCATTAATTTTATCTTTGCCATGATGACAGTAAATAATATTTTAGTTATTTTTCAAGACACTTCTATACAACTTAACTAGGTTGATCAGGTTAACTAGGCAGGTTAGGGTAATTAGGCAACGTATTGTATAATGATGATTTGTTCTGTAGATTATCCGAAAAAATATATAGCTTAAAGGGGCTAATAATATTGTCCTTAAAACAGTGTATAAAAAAATTAAAACATCTTTTATTCAAGTCAAAAATAAAAACTAATAAGATTTTCTCCAGAAGAAAAAAATATTTTCAGACATACTGTGAAAATTTCCTTGCTCTGTTAAGCATCATTTGGGAAATATTTAAAAAAGAAAAAAAAATAACCAAAGGGGGCTATTCATTCCGACTTTAACTGTATATATTACTGTATGGATTTCTGTCATTCAGTCCACAATGAAAATGTACTCACCCGCCTCATCAAGAATGTTAATTTTGTTATTTGAAATAATTTAATTTGTGTTGCAGCAGCCAAAATACACTCTGACATTATGCAGTGGAGTCATTTCTCCAGATTGACATGTCACCCAGGAGTTCAGGCAGTTTTTGGCCTACTGCTTGTTTTGCCCTCAGAACAATGGTAAAATGGTCAGACCCAACTAAGCCTGATTACTCTCAGTTATTTTGAGCTGCACGTCAATAGATTTGCTCTTCAGTGTTTGAACTTTCAGCAGTGAAAATTAAACCACACTGAACTAAACTAAGCTTTAACTCTGAAAACTGGACTGACACAGTTTCAATTGCAATTTACTAAAAACTTCTATATTAAGCTGCTTTGTGCAATTGGTGTAACAAACAATATTTATTAGCCTTTTTACTGGCAAGTTTTCAATTATTCATCATTTGCTTTTTAATCAGCATGACTTTATTTAACAAAGATAAAAATAGCACTTCATATCATCAGAGGGAAGAAAAATGCAATGAAGATAGTTTTGTTTTCTCTTTCGATCATACGAAAAGGAGGGCATGTCTGACAGGTGGTTTGTCAAGCCCACTCACCTGCGTGTACCACACTCGAAATTGCACAAAAATGTATGTTTTCTGAAATGTATGTGGTCCTTTCAAGGTGTAAGATTCATGTACACTCATTGAGGCTCTGTCCACACAAACAGATATTTTCAAAATTGCACTTTTTTTTTTCTACGTTTCGCTGTTTGTCCACACAAAAGCATCTGACTAAAACCAAAATTTTCTGAAAACTACAGCCAGGGTGAAGTTTGTTTTCCAAAACCCTGGATACAGCGTGGTCATGTGGACAATTCAACTGGAGTTTTCACCTCATGACATCAACACGCGTAGTTTTCTCCTTTCTTATTGGCCAACATGGTTGGGTTCATGTCAAACATGGAAGATGCAAATTTCACACATTCACAGCAAATGTATTGCATATTCCGCATTGTCCTATCGCTAGACGGTTTTCCACCTGTTCTCACGTTTACATTAACTTGTATGCAACTTACTTGCGACAATACTTAATTCCCATTTGGTGTGAAAACAGCATAAAAGTGTCCTTATCGAAGCCTGTTGGTTTGGTGTGCTCTTAATATGCATCAAACTGCGTTTTCATGTGGACGGAAATTAAAATAAAAAATTAAAGCAGAGAAAACAGATCATATAATACCCATGTATGTGTGGACAAAGCCTAACACGCACTAATTATTGACAGCCTGAGATGATACTTTAACCAGTACAGCAACTTTGTTTATGAAAAACACAATCTATGGTCTACTACAGTGCGTTTCCACTTGTGAGTGAGTGTTTTCAATTCATTCATACTACACTGATACAGTGCATTACACTCAACCTCCACATGAATCCACTAAAAACAGTGCCTGTGGAAACACACTGAAACTCGTTTCAGAATCAAATATCTGAACACAAATGACGCTGAGCTGAATCACATCCAAAAATTGTTATTAATATCAAACATTCATGGAAAGCTTAACCACAATAAAACACAATGGTCAGAAACACACACAAAACGGATGCTTTTATTAAACATTACTTTTCTCATCCAGGAACCTGACACAACAGAAACAGTTTTGTGCGTTTGACTGTATAACAACCGTTAAAGCAGTACAGGGTTTGTGCTGTACGTGGTGTCATCTGTGAGTGAGAGAAGAGGCCTGTCGAGGTCTGTGGTGCAGTATGGCTCAACAGTGATGAACCTTTGGGCAGCGACTGAATGCAGAATAAAAGAAACAGACAGAACTGAACAACTGGAAGAGGCTTGTGATTTTCACAACAGGTAGATAGAAGTGAACAGACTTGAGCTCTGTGCATGACGTGTGCATAGTTGCAGTGAAACAGTTCACTCTCCACTCTCAGAAGAACATGTTCAAGAGGAAGTCATTTCTGTCCACTGCTCTGTTCAAAGGTTCATGTCGACGGCTTCAGCAGACGCAGAGCTGCTGTGAACTGGTGCAATAATGATATGCTGACACTGATCCCTCAGAAATAGATTATATTGTCCCCACCTTCCCCTGAATCATATTTTTATTTATTTTGACCAATCTAATTTAATTTAAAGGGAAAGTTCAAAACAAAAAGTTCCATTTTTTCACATTATTTAAACACCCTAATGTTGTTCAATCTTCGGCAAACACAAAACCCTTTGTGTTTTGCTGAAGATTGAACAACATTGGGGTGTTAAAAATCATTATAATGAATTTTATTAGGGAATAAAACCACTCTTTGTATCAAATTTGCAACAAATTTATTTAAGACTTTGTATCAAATTTGCAACAAATTTATTTATGACAAATAGAATTTTTAAATGATTTTTTTAAAGGATTTGGAATTTACATTTTTGGCAAAAACAAATAATTAATTTCTAGATAATCATCACACTATGAATTAAAAGGGACAGTTCAGCCAAAAAATGAAAATAACATTATTTACTCTCTTGTTATGTGGTTTTAAATCTTTCTTTCTTCTGTTGAAGACAAAAGATGATATTTTGAAGAATGTTGGTTGCTGGCACCCATTGACCCCCATAATAAGAAAAAGTCAATGGGTGCCAGCAACTAACATTCTTCAAAAGATTTTTCTTTGCTTTTAACGAAAGAAAGAAACTGAACTTGAAGAGAAGGCTTTTGGGTGAACTATCCCTTTAAATCCTTTATCTTTTTTGTTGTTTTTTTTTCTACAGCTGTAATAGTGTCAGATCTGTATGTGTGTGAGTGGCCTCATGAATCCAGTGTTCTGTAGGGATCAGTGTGTTACAGAGGCAGAGTTGTTTGTGAGCTTTACTTGAAGTGATTGTCACACAGAGGCAGTGTTGTTGTTGACTGCTGTTCAATGATTGTTGCAGGAGAGCAGAGGCAGTGATGTTGTAAAGTACAGAAGAAGAGGAAGCGGCGGTGGAAGCATCTCAGGACACGTGACGGATGATTAGAAACGAATCGACCAATAACAGGGCTTCAAGATCCAGGTGCCGGACGTGTAACAAAAACATGGTTCTGTGTGAAATGCTCAACATTCTTAATACTTCTGAAATGCATTTAGCTAAAAATACACATTTTTCTTAGTGAATCGTTATTTTTGGAAATCTCTTTTATTTTGTAATCAGCTAATACTGTTTAGAAGGGGGTCTCTGTGTCTTTCGACAGGTGACAATTACAAAATGAAAAGCAAAAAAAAAAGCAATATTAAAAGCTACAGGAAGGCATTCGCCACTCCGTTAAAACCGAGATCTCACACACATCATAATCACAAGCCGCTTGTTTACAGGGGATCCTTCATTTCTGATGAAGTGTCATATCTCCAAATCGTCCGGACAAAACTGTGTTTTACCCCATCTTGATTGAAGCGCACACATCATTTTCAGTGCGACGTGCCCTTGTGCGTGACGTGAACAGGACTGTCTTGGAGTGAAGGTAACAGTGGGTCGACCATAACCATGTTCAACTCTTGAGACAAAAAGTGAGAGAAAAAGATAAGAAATGTTCTGCATTCCACCTAAGACCAAAAGAGTCAAATCTCATTTCTGTCAATATAGATTTCATATATTCATATATCTTTTGTACGAAAACAAAGAAACAGAACCAAAACAGCTGGAAAGTTCAAAATGTCCCTGACTTGTGGACAGCTGACGTCCTAAAGTCCTTTAGCTTGCTTTAAGGGATTGAAGTTTATAAAATAACGCTGAGGCCGAGAGAACGCGTCCTTCAGACGAGCTTCCCTGGGCCTTCACAGTTCGCGTGATGGGAGCAGAGCCGGGAAGACACAGTAAAGAGCCGCTTGCGCACACAGGGCGTTTGTTCTGTCATCTCTGTGAAGCAGCGCCACGTGAAAAGGCTCTTGTAGTCGCTGAATCACTGGAGGTTTTAATGACGGTGTGACTTTTGATCAGGCTCGGCCTGTGTGTAACTCTACTGGACTTCAGCGAATGAAAGCTGGCCAGATTTACTGTTCAGTCCGGGTCAAAGTCTACCGGAATTCTGCTCTCTGGCGCTGGTCGGCTGTGGCTTATTTCTGGTTAGGAACCAGTTTAATTCTGTATGGAGGTTTGTCTGGAGATGAAAGTCAAGGAGAGTGAGCCGAGGGGCTGCTGTGTGCCGAACTGGGAGACAAACTGGGGCTGCAGCTTCCTGGTGGAGCTCCCTTTCCACCACCACCACCACCACCTCCTCCAGCTCCTTTCGACCCGCCTCCCTCCAGACCCTCTGAATTTTCCAGCATCTCCTGAATGAGCGGAGGCATGGAGCCTGGGATCTCCATTTTCAGCGTTATTACTCGCTCCGCTCCTGTTTGAGAAGATAAGACGTTAGACTGGCTTCTAGTCGCTGATGTTTGATGTACAAAGACAGACAGCGAATCTCACCTTTAGCGCTGATGCTCCTCAGGTCTGTGATCTTCATCAGCATCTTAGGAAACATGTGTGGTTTATGAGGTCTCCGATTTCTCACGTAGATCTTCAGGGCCTCCAGCAAGGGCTCCTGAAGTTCATCCACCTTATCAGACTGCTCTAGATCCTGCCGATCTGAACACAGGTGCATCAAATGTAAATGTTAAGCAGAGAACAACAACAAAAAGTTACAAAGAGAGAGACGAAAAAAAAAAAAAAACTGCAGAAAATCTTAAAGGCAAAGTTCACCTAAAAAAAAAAAAAAAAAAAATCAGTCATTTAATTACCCTTGACTTCAAACATTTATGAGTTTCTTTCTTCTGTTGAAAACAAAAGAAGATATCTTGAAGAATGCTAGAAACTTGTACTATTGGCTTCTATAGTATGGTTTTCCTACTATAAAAGTCAGTGGTTACAGGTTTGCAGCTTTTGTTCAAAATGCCTTCCATAGTGTTCAACAGAAGAAACCCGTTGGAGGAGTGTAAATAGCAAGCAAATGTATTGTGAACTATCACTTAGAGATGAAAAAAATTGTCTAAATGATGTGCAATATATAACTTGTACATAAAGGCACCTATCACAACTGCTAACTTTAACATGTTTTTCTGCCATTTACTCATATGTAGCTCATTATTAGAAACTATAATTATAAATAGCAGATAAATATACATACGCAAACACAAAATCAGATTGTTATGTATATTCACAAAAGCAAAGCACAATAGATGTAAGAGGATAACAAATATCGTATTAAAAGTGATGGAAATGACTCACAGAGAAAATTCAGTCACTTATGTGACTACTGATTAAATATCTTCAAAATCAGGGCCCCCCTCCTCCCTCCAACTGATGTCAAAAATAAAACAAGATTTGGCCCACCAAAACATAGACTTTGAACCTATATAATTGTTGTGCAGTCGCATCTAGCCACTTGTGGTTTTGACCCGCCACCTAGTTGACATTTGAAGTACTGCATTCAGACTATTACTGCATTCAGAGTATTACATATGCGTTTTAATTCTGTGAATGATTTAAAGGTTAAAAATATATGCCTATAAGTGCTATAATTTCACTAAAGCTCTATCATGGAAATGTTCACGGGTCGTTTGATTATTATTAGTTTTATACCACTCAAATTTTGTTCAACAAACACTTCTTCACGGCTTGATGGTGTAACAAATATGATAATTTTGTTAATAGTCGATTCAAATGGTCTCATGTAATAGATTTTCCTCATATGCTTATTAAGATTTGCATAAAAACTATGCACATTAGTGAAATTGTACTGCTAGTTGAACTGAACTTGTTAAAGTAAATGTGAATAAGTACATACTTTTCTCGTCTTTGTTGTAGTTTTACAAAAAAAAGAAAGATTCGTTTTCTAAAGAACAGTTTAGATTACCCAAACTGCTTTCTGCTGTTCTTACGCTATTGGGACAATATAATTGGTTGGGACAGAATAATATTTTTATGCCTATAAGTTGTAGTATTTTTAAAGCATTTTATCCCTTCAATATGTACAACAAGACAAAAAAAACTAGAGTTTTGACTGCATATAGTCTGTGGAAGAATGACTGAGTGTGTGTGTGCCATACACACAACAACCATAGAAATATTTCAGCAGCTGATGTGTGACATGATAAACTTGCTGATTTGCATCATCTCTGGTGACAGGTAATGTTTGAAATAAATATAAACGTCATATCTGTTGTCCTAAAATGCATCAGTTATGTCAGGTTTCCACTTTTTTTCTTGGACTTTAATGTTAAAGCGGCCTTTCTATGGATTGTCAGTAACTGAAATGGCAACTCCACCAATTTAAGTTTGAGACCACTGTTTAAGATCGACAAATTGAAACAAGATTAAAAAAATAAATGTGTCTAAAGCTGCAGTACCTCCACACAGCAGACAGATGGCGCTAAGAAGCCCAGTCTCTGCATCATCCATCTCCAGAGGCAGAAGCTGGTTGGCGAAAGCGAACACCAGATCTGTGAGAGGGCCAAAGCCGGCGTTGTGCATCTGTGTGCGGTTCAGTGTCAGACCATCTGAAAACGTCATGGTGTCCTGATCGGGTGTGTAGCGTGTACATATTCGCAGGATCTGAGGAAGAAAGTTCAAAAGTTTAAGCATACACCATCCAAAGAGTAGGTTTAAATGTGCACTGGTGTGTGTGAGAAAACAGCAGGTGTCGTTCCCTCACCAGGATGTCGAGACAGGCGGCCTTTAACAGGGTGATCTGATCTGCGATGGTGAGCGTGGTGAAGCCGGGTAACTGCTTGGCGAACTCCACTGTTTTAATGATGCATTTGGTGGAGAGCTCGCTAAATTTGTCCCACAGGTCGACATCCAGAGCCACCCTGTGGTCTGCGCTGTTGTTCTGTTGACAGACATCAATGTTTGCTGGGTTTAGTAGCTGAGAGTGTGATTTCTATCCATTAACTGCATCCATTTAAGACCTGGTGTCTTACCGTGGTGTATTTTCCCAGCTGACAGAGCGAGGGGAAGGTTTCCTGATGGGCCTTCCTCACCTGCTCGATCATCTTCTCCGTATCTGGACTTAAGACGTAATTTTCCAAACATTCTTGCTTCTTGTCGTCTTTCTTCCTTTTGTTCCGGTCGTTCCTAACAGCTGCAACAAGAAAAAATAAACACAGCTGTCAATCCATCTTAATTTTTAGTGATCAGATCAAACAAACACCTAGATTTAAATCTCATAGTACCACAAATGGCTACACATACTATATACGCACACACATACATCACTACACAATATACACCACAAGATGGCAGTAAAAGTCCAGCGTTCTTTTTCTCTGCCTGGTGAAAGTAGCAGCAGCAGCAGCCTATCATCCACTTGAACCTTTTTCAGATCCACACTCTTGTTGTGATTCAATCATTTTGGCAGCTAATTTACTTGGAAACAACAATGAATGAAAGAGGAGGAGACGGATTAAGTGGGAGACCAAGAGGACACGTATATACATGTGCGCACATACACGCATAAGGAAACAAACAGGGATGTAAAAATACATTTCCACTGAGATAAAGACAGCTGGATGCTTTGATGTGACAGTTCAAAAAAAGCTCACGGTAAGAGAACATCAACTGCTAAACAAGCAGTAAAAAGGAAGAATTCCTTAGATGTGATTCTCTGAGGTCTTCTCATCTCTTATTGTGACAATGTTTTCTGTTTTAAAGTGCAGAATAAATAGGAAAATAATGCATAAGACGGAAATTGCATTCATTATATCTGCAAGATGATTTCTAAAAACAGTAAAAGATGTGAACTTGGATACTATAAAAGGGCATAGGCTTGCCGATTAATCGAAAAGTAATCGAAATTGACATTCAGAACCTGTAATCAATTTCAGGATGATTTTTTCAAATACTTTCCCTACGCGTCACGTGACCAAGCTCTGTTAAAGGCTGGGGCTGATTTCTACCTTTGCAGCCACATCTGATCTCTGGTCAAGAAGGACGATAGACTAATTCTTAAGCTTTTCTTTGCACTACATTGATGATGGTTGGAAGCTGTGCCTTTAGACCTTATATAAACCTTGCCCGTGAACTATGAGGACAAAAAAATAAAATAAATAAATAAAATAAATGTTTAGTAATTGTAATTGAATGTTCAATTAATCAAGAGTTTGATTTTAGACCAAATCACCCAGCCCTAAAAGAGCATATGATTTCATGTAGGATTTCTGTGACACTAGCAAACAATTTGGAAAATTTTATTTAGCCAAATATTGGACAATGCTTTCATTATAATCATATTTACTGCAATTTAATGCATTCTTTATGAATAAAACTGTCAATATAGATTAAAATAAAGACTTAATATTAATGTATGCACCTTTTTTAAGAGGTACTGGCTTGTTCAACACCATTCCCCCTTTTTATATTACTCTTGCTTCACATGTAATCCCTTTTACTGATGCATTGACAATATATGATCTTGCAAATGATTTTTCCGTGCCTCTAGCAAACAAGTTCAGAACAAAGTCCCACTTGTACAATGGTTGGGCAAAATCAATCCCATCTCAATCCCACACCACTGGCTGAACAAACACTGCAGTATTTACACTTCTCAGGGAAATAAACCTGTGTGAGGTGTTTACTTACAGTTGTTCTGCAGTGCATATTAAACTAGCAAAAATAATAAATAACATTGCCAATTAAGAACTGCAGGTTTAAAAAGAATGTAAATCTGCAAGCAAACGCATTCGTGTTTCATCACACACACACACACACACACACACACACACACACACACACACACACACACACACACACACACACACACACACACACACACACACACACACACACACACACACACACAGATATGCTGATGGTGTGCAGCGTGTAGAGATGAGAAATGAATGTTGGTGGTTGTTAATAACAGTGACAAACGACCTCTGCTTTCACTAAAATCCAACCTAATCTAATCACGTCACATGACAAATATCAGGCTGCTTTAAAGAGCTTTAATCGGGCTCTCCCTCCGCGCCTGCATTCCTCCCTCCTTCCTCTCTTCCCTCTCTCAGTCTTTCTGTTTTCCCATAACCTCGCTATCACTCTCGCTTCTTGTTCTCACAGCTTCTATCGCTCCTTTATCTCATGTTTTCTTGCTGTTTTTGGTTAGGACTCCTTCCTTTGTCTAAAGATAACTCGATGGCTCTTCTTCTCCCTCCTCCATATGCACACCGGGAGAACAAAACGAAACAGAGAGAGAGAGGGGTGGTAAAGGATGATTCTCCCTCACTTTTCCCCACAGCCACATATTCATTTCTCCAGAGGGAGCTGGGTGCCAGCATGGGCTCAGAAAACACAATCTAATGGAGCCATTAAAGAACTATTAACGCAGGGAGGTAATCTTTCACGACACGACATGTGCAAGAAGACGAAACCTGCTTGCAAACAACTTTATGATGACAAGAGCGCGCCATCATTTCCGGGCGGAGAAAATGAAATATGTAAAATAACAAATCTGGGGCAGAGATTTCATCCTGCTCTGACAGAACCGGCAGACTGGTGCGTTCAGTGCGACACAAAGACGTATGTAAATCCTTGGTTATAATGAAACAAAAATACATCCAAACCCATACTCATTCAAATAATAAAGATCTAAAAAGATAAAAAAATTCATTTAAAAAGTGAAAATTGGTAGTTTTTGCGTTATTTCGAGCAAATTCGTACTTCCGGTTTGAAACGAGTTTTTGAAGCTGCGTCACGGCCTTGAGATCTTATCGTGTATGCCAGCGTGTAGACTGGACGTCTGTACCTGGGAGTGCCTTATTACGTCTTTGAGTGTGGGGCATTAATGCATGAGTAAGACTTGGTTCGAACCAATCAGCGCGCTCTATGATGCAACTTCATTAATATCCATGATAGCTTCGAAGACTGTTTTTACCAGTCACAGTGTTCAGACGGCAGAGAGACGCCACATTGTGTTGCCAAAACAAGCGTGCAGTGTTGCTTTTATAATTTGCTGCAGTGAAGGTTTTGTTTTCATTTTCTCTCTTTGAGAGAGCAGCTGGATGCACGTATGGATTAAAGTGCATGCGAAGCTCAAAACACCAATACGTGTCTAAGGATTTGTTGATTGTCCTGTCTCTATAAATTTGGTAGGTGAGCGACCAGTGGTCTTTGTTTATCCAGATGACGAAGTTAGTTCATATCGAACTAACTATTACACAGAGTGTAAACATGTTAACACCACAATCAAACTTACTGTCATGTACGATTTTCACTGCATTTTGTGATAGGAATAACACACACGAATTTCTGATGCTACCTGCCGAGTGCATCTAAGTTTCCGGGAAATGCAGAGGTTTTTTTTCTCTCATTCACGGTGCGTTAACAAACGTTGCATGAAAAATACTCGCTAGAGCAGTTCCTCAAATCAAATTTCTCGTTTGTCACGAGGGGCATGATTGAAATTCCTGAATGAAAGAGCCAAACTGCAGTTAAAGTCCACAATTTACTAATTTGTCAATTAATTTGATTACTTATGTCCATGTAAACACAAACACACAGGGGAAAAAGACAGTGAGTGTGTTTTGCCTCTGTATAAATCAGCGCGTGCCCAAACCAACACTCCCATTTTTATGCAAATTTTTATGCAAACAGTGCTGAACGCTCACTTTCCTGACTTTTTCCAAAGTAGAGGTGTAAAAAAAAACCTGCTGAAACAAGGGGGTTTCATGGCCAAATGTGCATCAAGTCTTTTTCACTGGTCACTTCAGCTATGTCCAGCAGGTGGAGACAGCAGGATCAGAGATATCAACGTCTGATAGAGGCCTTTAACCCACACTGTAGTTTAAGGCCATGGTTTAAAAGTTCACTTAACTTAGACATGTAGGCTCAATCCCAATTCTATTTATGTTATTTTTTGGTATTTATCTTCAGGATATCACTAAAGGCAATGATATCATGTTATCATAACAATCTAATGTGGCAATAAGATCATAACTGTACTGTGCACAGTGGCCATATTAATCTATGTAAACACACAAAACACAACATTAACATTATACCAGACACTGTAAAAAGCTGATTCCCAGTCACTAGACTTTTCTGATAGGGGATTCCAGTGTCATTAAGTGTCAGAATGGTGTGGGACTGATATACAAGAGTTATTATTATGGATTAAAGATATCAAAACTTAGCAGTTTTTATTTTAGCGTTTTTTAAACGCATGACAGTAAAACACAAACACAGTTATGAATGTATTAAAACATGTGCTTGTTTTGTTGTAAAAATTTGTAATACTAACAAAAAATGTTTGTTTGATCTCCTACTAATTTAACTTGATCTCCTTCCAGGTCAAGCTATGCTGTTGTTGTGGCTGGTGTATTCTGGGTAATTTTCTACCCCTTTGTTTTCAGTGTGGTCCTGAAAAATCTCAGTTCGAAAGGGTATCCACCCATTACACTTAGCCCTACACCTCCAAGCTTAAGAGAATTGGAACACCCCAACCCCTTCACACGAACGAGGGTTAGGGGGAAGGCTAAGGGGTAGAATTGGGATTGGGCTATAGTATAAAGCAGTAAAACTGTACTATTTGGCTCAACGGGAATGAATTTATTTCATCAATAACAGTAAAAAAAAATAAAAAATTGCTATGTTATAGCAACATATTGCTAAGATATGCTGAAATTTTGTACACTTATAATTTTATGTAATTGGTGCATGTTAGGATGGGACAATATTTAGTTGGGATACTGTACGTCCACCTGAAAATCTGGAATTGAAAAAACAAAACATCACCTTATACATTTCTAACAAGAAACTTACAAAATATCTGCATGGGGCATAATATTTACATAATATTTTAATTATTTAAAAAAAAAAATAATATATATATTATTTTTATATATATATATAATAAAATTATATATATATATATATATATATATATATATATATATATATATATATATATATATATATATATATATATATATATATATATTTATATATAATAATTTTGACTCATGCAATGTATTTTGGCCAACTGCCAAACATGTACCAGACTTCCAGCTGGCGTTTCTGTGTGGAGTTTGCATGTTCTCCCAACGTTCGCATGGGTTTCCTCTGGGTATGGTACTATAGCAAGATAATAGTCTCCCAAAACCTTACTATGACTTCAAGTCATTTCATGAACATATTTTTGGTCATGTAGCACGCATGCAGTGTAGTACCCAAGACACTTACATTCTTTAGACATGCCCACTTCCAGGCACTTCTGCAGTCGGCAGTACTGGCAGCGGTTTCGGGTGACCTTGTTGATGATACAGCTCTTCTCTCTGTGGCAGGTGTACACCATGTTCTTCTGAATGCTTCTCCGGAAAAAACCCTGAGGAGAAATGCAAACATGAAGGTTTACTATAGCTGGAAGATGCACAAATGACACACACTCATGCGAATTAACACCAACCCCCAAAAGTCATCACGACTGCGAAGGAACGGTTACATAAACCCACTTATGATTCACCAGATATTCATGTATGCGCATCTTTGCTATACACAAACACACAAAAACACAAATAAACAACCGTGGCATAAACACGACTCTCTCAGGCACCCAAACACTTCATTTCTTGGCATAATGGCCAGCTGAGCTCAGCTTGGATTGAGCAGTGTTATGGCTGCTGGGTATTATCTCCCAGTTCAAGTGCCCAGAGGTTCCCATTGGCTAATACCCAGCAGAGCTTAACCCTCATAGACTCAAGCGGAGGGATGCAAATGAGAGATTCACATTATTCTGCTGATCTTAATTACTGCTTGGTCAGACTCTCGAGGGCAGAGAGTCAGTCAGAGGTCATGAACGGCTAAAAAGATGCAGCTGAAGCCACATACAATCAAAGAGCAGACGTCAAACACTGCGTGCGTAGGCTTGTGGAAGAGATTTCAGCTGCTGTGCTGCAACCACGGCGCTCTGGCAGAGGATTAGACAGTGAAAGCTTCACTCGTGACTGCCGCTGGGCACATGGGTATCAGCATCTCTCTCTCTCTCTCTCTCTCTCTCTCTCTCTGTGTGTGTGTGTGCAGGAGTCGCTGACTGGGAAACACAGTATGTGGGTTCAAAGCATCCATAAGAAAAACAAGATCCAGAGGAATCCCTGCATTCTACAGATTTGTGGCGGAAATATTTTATAAAACAGATGGTTTCGCATCTGAAATGGATTCTAGAAGCTACACTGCTACAGATGTTATTAGAAGAGATGGATGATTCCAAAATACTAACTGACACAAATACAACAATCTGGTAATCTCAAAATTAATGCCTCGGCTGATAGTTGAAAAACAGCCAATATAAAAACGCAATACCATAGTAAGAATAATAATAAATACAGTCAGAAATATATAGAATTTTCATTAATTTCATACATAATAACAATTTCTGCATTTGCCATGTGAACACACAAAAGAGATGATACAAAATACTCATTCAGTAAGGTTAACTGATCCTGCAATTGTAAAAATACTTGTTGCTTTTCTAAAATAACTGCATTGAAAACTAATATGAAACTAATATCAAGCTAAAACATTTGAACTGCATTAAAAAAAAAAGTCTTACTGAAACTTCTATCAATCTCAAACTTAGCTATAGAGAGTACTGCATTTCTCTGAATTTGCATTCTAGTCATGGTACAGTTTTCAATGCAAGCCTACAGTAAAAACAACATCCAGCCTTTGTGCTCTAGAAACAATAATCCCAAAGGCTTTTAGCGGAAAAGCCTTCAACATATCAGTCAGGGCACCCAGTGAAGCTTTTAGTGTACGTGTGCTTTTGACAGGTCTGTCCAGCAGCTGCCATATAAAAACACTCATGTCATTTCACCAAAAGCTGTCCAAGGACATGTCCTGCATGCTGAAAGGACGCGTCCCTCTCACACTCGGTCTCAGCTATGAAAAAGTAATAAAGGAAAAGGTGAGCATGGCAGATGTGTGACAGAACGTGTGCTCGCCTCGCAGAGCTGAAATGGCTTTCTAATGCGCTGCCCAGAGGCCTGATCTCCCTACAGAGGAGCTCTCATTCATCGGCCATGTTTAATTCATGCCAGCTCTGATCTTCTGGAGGTCATTGTTGGAGGTCATTGTGGTAGATTCAGATGAAAAAGCTTCCACCGAATACAGCATCTGCAGGTTAGTCGCTAAGGTACATGCACATTGTATGAAGTTCAATGCTGCACATTTTCTTTTAATTCCACTTTGAACTAAAATAATTTCACACATTTTGAAAACTAGTGCTCTTACAGAAAATTCTTCTTGCAGTTGTTACATACTTTGTATGTGCTGTACTGAAATATGGCCACACATTTTTTTTACACAGTTTACAAGAAATATGAAGCATTCGCTTCATCCTGTCCCAAAAAAAAAAGGAATGCGTGAAATCTGGCCAACGGTACCCTTTGTACAGCCGACTGCCGTCTCACCTGAAGAGCTGATTCACTGATAACAAACCCATGACAAATGTCACACCAATCCACAATCAAAAGGCCTCTTTTTCTCAACCTGCTTCACTCTCTGCTCTGTGCCGCCACTGCTCAGGTCTGAAAGCCACAGGAATGAGGCTCAATATCATCACAAGGTGTGAAGAATGCTCTGGCAACAAAGGGGCATCTGGGTAATTCCACTGGATTACGGGCCGCAGCGGTGGGCCATTAAAAGAAAAGGGAACAGATACTCTGAGCAATGGCTGCTGAAAATGCTAGTGTTCATTTAATTTCAAAATATTGTTGTTTCATTACCATGAGACATTTTTTTCCAGCAGCCTATTTTACACGGTTTCTGAAAGAATCTACAAAACACCCATGTGACGACTCTTTGATCTGGTGCATCTTCTAATCAAGATGTGGCTTAATTCTGAAAAACATGTCATGGTACCAAAAACGTTTCACACTATTTTGTCACAGTATTATTGCTTAAAAAATGCACCCAGGGGCAGCACTGTGGCTCAGTGGTTAGCACTGTGGCCTCACAGCAAGAAGGTTGCTTGTTCGAGCCCTGACTTTTCTGTGTGGGGTTTGCATGTTCTCCCCATGTTTGCATGGGTTTCCACCACAGTCCAAAGACATGCAGTAAATTGGATAAACTAAATTGGCCCGTGTATGTGTGTGAATGCTAGTGAATAGCTGTTTCCCACTGCAGTGTTGCAGCTGGAAGGGCATTCACTGCATAAAAACATGCTGGATAAGTTTGTGGTTCATTCCACTGTGGTGACCACTGATAAATAAAGAGACTAATCCGAAGGGAAATGAATGAATGATTAAATGCAGCCTTGGTAAAGAAAGGGACAAAAAAATAAAAAGTTGATCCCCAAAATTGTAAGGGTAGCAAAATCGCTATGTAAAAATGATGTTGTTATTGTAAAAATGTAAGCATTGCTGGTTTTACTTCCTTTCCAACATTGTTGATATTATTGACAGTGGCAGATGTAGCTTGCATTAACACTGCACCGACCCCATTATTTAACAAAGCAATTTCATCTCATCTGTTTACCTTTCTCAACATGTAACTGTTACTACATTACTACATACTACAGCAGAGAGACTATTTAGGAATTGGTGGATGCTCTACACATGATCGACACTGAAAAAAAATCTATGAGTGCACAAAAGCAAATCACCCATCGATCAGATGTCATTTGGGAAGCAAAATCAATTGCTATTTGGTATAAGAAAGTGTTGTTGCTTCTATCAGCCTTTATTAACAGCAAGAACAAAAAAGACTTATCCAGATTCAAACTTGGAAGAAAATTCTTGTCCGAGATGCAGGAATAGGATTAAAAAAAATGCATATGTGAAAGAGCTAGAGGACATTATGGACACAGGGCTGATCTGTGATCCTAATCTCTCACTGGGCATCATCTGACCTCTGTGTACCACAATATGACCCAGCCCTGACCTGCTGGGGAGATCCTGTGAACCGAATGTAGCAGGAAGGAAATGGTTTGATGTCTGCTGTGGCTCCCATTGGCAGAGCACTAAGCCTCTTTAGTGTCTCCACTAATCCTGGACATGAGCACAAACCCCCAGGCGCACTGAGACAACGGAGGAGCCTGTGTGTGTTGGTGTTTGTGTGAAGTGTGCACTCCATTTCCACTGGATTTGGAGAAAAGAGAGCATTAGATCAAAATAGGGCCGCCTGTCTGTTTGGTGTGACTAAAAGCGGCTGTGCGTAAGATTAAAGTTATTGTACTCTGTTAGGTGTGAAGATTTAGTGAGCTGCCTTCCTAAGGAATAAAATAGTCTCATGTATACTGCAGGTCTTGATGAACAATATATTACTCTTTTTTTTTTATTTTTAAATAAAGTAATTATTCAGTTTCCTATTAAAAGCAATCCCTATTCATTATACACTAGCAAACCAGCATAACATATTGACCCATAAAATCTTAGGCTGAAAAATAGGTTAAAAATGGTATGATTTGCAATTGGTGCAGACAAAATGAGAATACAAGCCACAACTTGATCTTTAAAGGTCAGAAAAAACAATGCTTCAACATGACTCTGGTGGCTTTAACCTTCGTCCTCCACTGTGCCTTTGAAAAGCATCATATGAACATGGCTGGCATCCAGCCGAGTTGACATCATTCACCACCAATGACAGAGGACGTCATTCACCGTACCCACTCACATGCATGGCAGACACAAATAAAAGTATACGATTCATATCGAATTAATTTCCACAGTAAAAATTAGGCCTGAAACCAACTGAGAATAACTAAATCTGTGTGCCTTTGTTCTTGATTACACATTAGTGGGTCATATCTGATCTGTGCCACATGGGAGGGGAGGAAAAGAGAAAAAAAAAACTGAAGTGAGATACTAAAATTGGACCACTTGAACCATGTAAATGTAGCATTTACAATGTTTCCCCATTGTGAAGCTTGTCCTATATTGCATTGCAACAAGCTCAGTGGAGAAAATCTGGGAACAACAGTAGCGGCATATAAAAAGTCAAATCTACAACTTTGATGAATGCTATACATGCAAAAAATCGATTCGACTCTACACACAATCTTAATTCTGCTTTTCTACGATTCTGCCAATTATATTATCAAGGTTTTGAAAGAAGTGTAACAGCATATATACAATAATGAATACAATAAATAGAGTGAAAATAAATACCTTTTAGGACCTTTACCTATATTTTAGTACTTTATAACCGCTTTAGGTTTCAACCGGAAACACTGGCAAGATTTTAACTAACAGTTTATTTACTAAATATTAATTTAAGGCACTAATCCAAAACTAAAACGTTATACTGAAAAAAGTCTATTAAATCTAGCTGATTCAGCAGGTGGTGGCTATAGAAATACAGAAATAATGGAGTTGCCTTGGTTACTGCAATAAACAAAGCAAAGCAAGCAAATCTAGCAAGATTTTATTTATTTTATAAACTAAACATCATCCTGATATTAACAGAATTCAGGTTAACTTTAACATTCAACCATACATTGCATAATCAAAAATGATATCGAATTAAATATCTTGCAAAATGGCATTTAAGACTTTAAGGGCCTTAACAATCTCTACATTGATTTATCAACTTTTAAAACTTTAAGACCCTGTGTACACCGTGTTAAAGCGGTTGCACAAGTCTTCATGTTTCATAATCGTTGCTCAGAAACATGGATACCTCCAAATGGTGTAGAAAGTGTCACATGCTGTTTAATAAGGCATAATTCACCCCAAAATGTAATTTCTATCTTAATGTAAAAAGATATTTGTGGCCACAAAATCACACATGAGCTGACGCATTGTTTGTTTACTACCAAGACAACGCGTGTGTGTTCGACAGGGATGTCTAATTTAGTGAACAGAGCATGCATAAGCTGTGAACAACAGGTAATAAAGTTCTAAAATAACATTCAGTTTGGGAACTGGGAATAACGTTCAAGAGGGAATCTGAAGATGACAATGTTTCATTTTGAAATAAAATAGTCTAATTATGTTGTCAACGACAAATGGCAAGCATATGTCTCAAACATTATTATTCAACTTCAGAATTATGAAGAGTTGTATTTTGATGCTATCACTTTACTGTGAATTAGTAACCAAGACACAGTCTATACAAAATTTAGGGTTTTAACCAACAGTAGACCTACACGTAGGCCTAAAATTATAATTGTTGTTGTTTTACCATATGTTTGAGAAATCAGAATATTACTATAACTTTTATTTTACATCTACAGAATCGAGAGAAGATTGTGATCTGGATTTTAAGCAAAACAAAAAATAGTGATACTCATTGTATTCTACCGAGAAGCTACCAAACATTAACATTTGATGGTGTCGTATCTAATACTGACTAATTGAACCTTTAATCTGCTGCCCACAACATGGATGTGATAAATGTGGAGTATATGCTGTAGATGTTATTGTTAACTATTCCTCAATCAAATTGAATCAAACCGTTAGGCTCAATTAAGTGATTCATAGGTTTCAAAGGTAACAGTCGGTGGAGCTACCACTTGAGCAAAAAGAGCATCAACAATCTTTACAAATGTGCAAAAAAGTTTTTAACTTCAGGACATATATCCCAAACGCTGCCTCCTCCTTTTGTTCATCTGAAAGCAGACAGGCTGTAGGGGCGAGAGCAGGAGAGTGATGGGTGCTTTTTGAAGGAAAAGACAAGCGCTGATATGTCCTCCCACCGTTCAAAGGCAGCGAGAAAGGGAGAAGATAGCACATGCAAATTTAATGAAGTCATGTTTATTTCTCGGCGAGCTGTAGCGTGTGTATGTGCGCACGTGCACACTCTCCACCCACGCTTCCCTGCGGCGGCGCTCGGATAAGGGGGCTTTGTAACTATCATAGTTCAACTCCAAACCCCTGTGCTTCTCTTTCTCTGGGAGACACAGGGTAGATCATACACTGTATACACAACCAGTTTTCAATTATTAAGTAGCACAGAAATAAAAGACTCGAGTTCACCGCTGTGCCAATGGGGGCTTTTTTTCCCCCCACAGAGAAAATGTCAGTGCTGGAGGTTGTCAACGGTGGCAATGCCAGAAAACACCCAAGGGGACTGAATATGAACTAGGCATGAATCCCAAATGTGTACCATGAGCCATTCTTTCGTATGAGGATGCACCAGTATTATATTAAACGGTTATTAAATGAGTGCTTTTACAGCTAGACTTCAAGAGCATGCAAGATGACATCCCTTTAATACACTTCAGTAATCTAATTTAAAAAAAGGAAACGAGTATGAACAACTTAAAGGTTAATATATGACATCAATCAAAATGGAAAATATGCACACTAAATTAAGTACATACACACAAGACCATAGTATTAAATACCAAAGTCTATTTTTGTTGATCCAGTTGTACCAGCTGAACAACATGGAATTTGCAGAGAGTTCAATTAACCTACCAATATACTACTGAAACCAATTGCTATCATATCAGAGACGGAATTTTTGAAGCACCTGGAAATATTGTACCACTGGCTCAGGATAATACATTTCACATAATAAGCAGCAGACATTCCAAAGGTAGAAAACGCATCCATCCAGATTATTTTATAGCGCTCACCTGGTCAAATGCATTCATTTCGGCTCAAATAGCTTTTGCTATTTAATCCTTTATAGTGTTTTTAATAATATTCGGATTGCTGCATTGGCAGTGGTGTTCATTACAGCAATGCCTATAGACTTAACAGGTGATTTATTTTCAATCATACATATTCAAATGTTAATCTGGCCTACAACATTGATGATTCAGTGACTATTTATAGGCCTTTTGTTTGTTAACTCTGACTTTCTAAAATTTTCATCAAACATCTGTTTACTCTGAACATGTATAGATAATGATACACAAAGCATTTTTTGTTATTATTATTCATAATAAAGTAGGCTTTTTTGCAACTTCAGTCAATATCATGATAATCTGCTTGTTATGTAATACTGTTTGGAATGGAATTTGTTTTTTTTTTCTTTCAGCACCACTTGTCCTCTTCTCCTGTGGGATTTAATGTTTTTGGAATATTTTCATTTATTTTTATGTTTTCTATATAATTCTTCTTTACTATTACTATTTTCTGTTTATGTTAGATTTTGTATAATGAATGATTCTTTTATTTATTTTTATTTTTTTGCTGCATGGTTCTTTTCATCTAGTATTACACAAAATGGTCACAGTATAAAGGTTACATATTTCAGTCTCTAGATTAACAACGAGAAGTCATAACAGTATGGAATATGGTTTCTGGGTCTAAGCCACTACTCATTTGAATTGAGAAAATATTAATTTATGAACACTTTCTGGTCATATCATACATTAAAGTGAACTATATAAAATCATGGTGCATGGGATGCAGTAAGGACAGAGACTGTTGTGTACAACAATATTTTAACAATTTATTGAAAATGTATCAATTTCTGGCCATTGGATACTAGGCATATATTGAGGCCCGTTGAGGGGTGTCAGGGGTGGAGTGAGCGACGTATCTGAGTAGGGGCGAGAGGGGTGTGCAATGTATTTAATGACCGGTTTGCAAGAAATTATCATTCATTTGCGGGCATTTGGGAGTCTCTGTGCACTTGCGGGATACTCCTAGTCTTAGCAACTGGATGAATGTAAAGGAGGATTAAGCAAAATTGTTTCTACTCTATAACTAATGTTTTTAACTCACAGCAATAAAACTTTACAATGAGTGCAACAGTTTGTATTCTATGGTTTATTATTATAATTTTTCATTTTCCATATCTGCAATTCCTGTATTTTGGCATTTTTTTGCAGTCCACTTAGAATCCAACATGTAAATCAATGTTTTCTTTATTGGCATTGATTGTTTTGAAATTTAAATGTCATTGACATGCCTGTGTTTTAATTTCTGTAATAAATATGGCTGTCAAGCAGGATCTTGATGGTTTATAGTGGGTATGTTGTTTGCATTAAGAAATCTGTGTTACAAGTTAAACAAAAATTCTATTAAACAATTATATTTTGAATTTAAATAGTTTTTGTCTTGCGTTTACATTAATTTTACATTTAAATAGCCAAAACTACAAGTTTCAGTATTTTAAATGCGATTAATCGCGATTATTTTTTTAAAAAAGGTGCGATTAATTAGTTAATTTTTTTAATCGATTGACCGCACTAATATATATATATATAGCAAATGTGATTTTTCAAAGTATTACATTACTTTGTAAACAGTTATTATTACTATTTGTTGAGTCTCCACCATACAGTTTGATAGCGCGCTTGGACACTGAAGCCACTTTGCGTGATGTCACACTTAACAAGCGGATACTGTTTATCATCATAAAAGTGCCAATAATCACCAAATAATCACAACAAGGAAAACTGGCAGAAGCCTAGTCTTGATAATCTAAACAAGAGATGCATATGAACCCATGTTAATATAAGGTGTACACAGTAATATGATCAGCAAAGCACTGCCGATCAGACCACTGAAATGTCAATATCAGTTGGAAGCGTGGCCTTACCTTACACCCTTCACATGCGCTGACTCCATAGTGGTAGCCCGAGGACTTGTCCTGGCAGACAAAACAGGGCTTGTAGACCCGTGGTGGAGGTGGCGGTGAAGGAGGGCTGGGTACGATCTCCTCTGAGCTTGTGCTCTGGGTCTCCACAGCTACAAGAAAACAGAAACGGACATTAGTTTACCTCATTAATGTGCTATAATTCTCCCACACAGATGCATCCGAGAAAACAGCATGTTGTCATTTAGCAAGTCCACAAAGACCTTCAACATTCAAAAGAGTCCTGCACTCCACAGGATGGCTCAGCCAGGGGAAAATGTGCATCCTGATCAGCGGCGAAGGTCACGCCTGTCAGGAGAACGTCTCCATTCCTGGAGCGAGCAGTCAGAGAGGCTGGTGTCACGCTCTCCTTACACTCTCACTTTGCTTTCTTCCCCGTTTCAGCTGCTACCGACTGGGACGAGTGCCAGCCTTAATTAATAAAGTCATGACAGTCAGCTGGGGCGTGGAGGGAGAAACCACATGCTGTGCTGGAGTGGAGTGGCCGCCCGAGCAGCACAGCACTATCAAGAGCTGCCATGATCCAGAGCTTATGAAACCACCACGCGACTTAAATAGCAGACCATGAGGGGAAACCCACAACTCAGAGAACACACTGCCCTCTCCACGGGTCAAGAGTACAAAACAGCAAAGAAATGCGTTTAGAAATAGCCAAAATTCTCCACATAGCTGCATGAATATGCCCACATGTAAAAAATTGTCTGCGATACGCCAATGATGGCACCAGTATAGTTTTAAAAACATTTTGATGGACGTTTTCACTTTGCAACCCGTATGTTTCTCTTCTCTGCCACCATCTTCTCTCTCATCCTGCCGTGTTCCACAAATGCCATGTAGGTAAATGACAGATGAAGAGAAAAGTTCTCAGTGAAGGAAAACATGCTACTATGTGGGTGCAGTGACTGGGTCTGTCAGCAATTGAGCTATGAAGAGATTCAGGTGTAGTTTTAATAATCCATGACAGATGTCACAAAGAGTCAAACTGTAGACCTCAAGTTCAGCTCACACTGTGTGATTTTTAATAATCCTAACTGACTGTAGCCTGTCAGACCACACAAACATGGTTCCCATGTCACACTGTAAGATCTCATAATGTCAGACTGAACAATCAAGATGCGCCAAACACAAACATGCAAGAAAACTGAGGTCATCCATCTGTGACACATTTGCTAACCCATGATCTGAAATGATCAAACAAACATTCTGTAATTTTGCTCAAAGTGTGCCTCAATAATGGTTTGAAGATTGTTGATTGCATCATCAGATACAGGACTCCTATTAGTTCCTGGTTTGACAGTCATCCTAGCTCAAGTCATACTACAGGATAACGTTTGAAAACTTCTGACTCTGCCAGAACTTCATCAGAGGGAAAACCTGAACACAAGGGTCATTAAGTAGCTGTCAGTAATCATGTCAAACTAACAATCACAAATCTTAACCTAGGATTTCAGGAGTCTTAAGATTTCCCAAATTTGTCTCAGAGGACCAAATTGTGGCTAAAAATTGCAAAGTGTGAGCAGGGCTTCATATTTAAGCATTAGCTGATGAATGTTGATGAATGGAACATTAGTCAGCTTCAGGCTGGTTCTCCACATCAGCTCTAGTTGGGCTCTTGCTGTGGTAGTTCTCCTGATTCAGCACGTTGAACTGAAGTTGGGATTTTCAGAGAGTCATCACTCAAACTTAAGTTTAGCGGGCACATAGCAAGTACAAAAAGGAAAGTAAGAAATTTGAGTAAAGACATCAAGACAACACTGACATAACCAGGGAGTTTTCTGTGAAACAGGATGTACCGTCAGGACATTTTTATGGTCCAATACTTTTTGTCCTAAAGAACCAAGAAGCCTTTAATCACCCTAAAATTGCAAATCCTGAGGCCACTTGGTAGCTGGTTGCAGAACTAAGGATTCTAGAGCATATATGATTAGATTAAAACAAACAAACGAAAGAATGTTCCTCATCTTATTGCAATCGTTCCATATATGGAAGAAATAAAAACTGTAAATGAGCATTTCCAGCGTTACTGATGTGAAATTTGCAGTAAAGCTTCAAAAAGAAAGTATTTGTTAACATTATATTAAAGCACCTGTTTTTCCAAAACAACTAATCACAGAGTTATGGGATCAGAAAAATATCAGTCAATAAACATGTTTTATATTTTAAATGAGGAAAATAAACATCTGTTATGGATGTGACCAAAAAAGTCTGCAAGTTTACAGTATACAACATACTTTTTAGAAAATCTGTGAATTAAGCTGCACAACCCAAAAGAAATGATGCTACTCAAAAGGATGAGATCGGCTCACTATAGAACAAAAATGATTGATTTAATTTTATTTAACATTTTTGCATTTATTAGGAAAAAAGCTTGGTTATGGATGTGACATCTCTTCATAATGGATGTGGTGTGAAATCTGCACTTGTGTGTCTTTGGTGGATCAAATATAATTGTTTGAAAACATTGACAGGGACATTTAGAGTACTTTTACAGCACTTTAAAAAACAGGCCTGGACACAAAAAAAAGAGTTTCAATATTTTGGTGAAAACTTCATTATTTTATGGCAAGGTTGGCATTTGCATGGAATCGCTCAAATATTTGTATTTGCCAAAATTACACAGTAATATTTTACTTATTTACTTATTTTTTTAATTATCTTTGCTAATCAAGGCTACACACTTTTAACACACAATTTCAAAAAAAAAAAAAAAAGGAATCTAAAGAATGTTTCTGATTTTCTGATAATTCATTTAAAGTCCAACTCATCTGTTAATGATAAACATGTCAGTTTTTTGGAAAAACAGATTTTCTTTTGTGGGATTTGTTAATCAATATAAAGAAATTTAACTGCATTCATATGAAAGTCTTTCATAACAATGTTAAGGTTTTCATTGACACTTTTGTTTAATTGAATTATCCAAATTCAATAATATTTGTGATGGGGTATTGAAACCTTGATCTGATAAATCGGTTTGTGATGGTTGTGGGGTCTGTGACAGGCAGTGAGGTCTGCTTTACACTTATCTAAGTAAGTCAGATATCTAATCAACCTTAAACAGAAACAGAGTCTGTGCCAACCTTTAGCACAGCCAAAACCTCACAAACGCAAACATCAAGACCACCAAACAAATGCCTGAATGATGAGACAACTTTCTCTTTAATCATTAGAAAACTGGTGACATTCATTTAACAGTGCATTTAAACAGATCTTGCACACCTTCGTCTACTGCGAGAGGTATGACAGAAAATGAGGCCTCATCTCCACCTCGCAACACCCACACTGTTGCTGAGCCGGTGGGCAACCGTATGAGTCTATTTCCTGTGTTCAGAAAAAGCACAGTCAAAAAGCTAAAAATACACGCACTGGCACCGGCACAGAGTCAGATGAGGATGTCGAGTTCTTATCTCTTTCCACACACAACCAGCAAACGTCCCCACAAACACGCATCCCCAGCACATGATCGAACGCAAAGCGACTTGTGTTGAGAGAGCTGAAGTGTTTTATTTAGCAAAGGTTGAAAAACAAGATAAAAATACAATAATGATGTGAAACTGTGAAATAAAAAACAGAATCAATCAGGCAGTAATCATTTGGGTTAGTTGAGTTTCCCAGACTTACAGAATTCACCTGACCATTGCATTTCATCAAATTCCTAGAAACAGCCATAAAACTATAGAAATTAGCATTTTTTCCAAACCACAAGAATTTGCTAATAATACTAGGTTTATCATGAAGGCCGGAACGAACCCTTGATTTTCTTTGCCAATATTTAGGCCCTGTTTACATGTTTTAGTTTTAAAACTCATAACTTTTGTAACGGTTACGCCTTCTGTCCACATTACACCAGAGTTTTTGAGCCCCGAAAACAGAAATTTTTGGAGACGCTGAAGAGACCATTTTGGTTTTAAAATGCTGCTGCTCCATATCAGTGTGGATGAGGGTAAAAGAAGACATCTGAAAAGACATCTGCAGACATTCGGATCTGATTGGGGCTTTTTCTCAATATTTAGTGCACAAATTTAAGTCTTGCACACTTTCCTGATGTTTAGAATTTGCTAGTTTGTTATGGAAAACAAACTGCTGAAGACACGTCGAGTAAATCTTCAAAGGAAAAAAGAGTACTTACATTATCATTCGCATCAACCTGCCTACATTGTTTCACCACATTAAAAATAAAATGAAAACATGATATAAGGAACTGCCTCTTTTCATTTTGATACTAACAATTTAACAGACACCAAAACTGTTGAGGCATTGTGTAGCTACATATTTATATGACTGTCAACGTCACTTTACTGTATGCATATTTATAACAAAACGAAGCTTATAACATAACTGCCTCCTTTCATTTTCAATAAAATTAATGAAAGGAATGTCTCTTGCTGAATTTCAGTTTGTTTTAATAATCAATACTGGAAATCAACATGATAACTTTATACAATATAGCAAAATAAAGTCAAGCGATCAGTCAAATGTGCAGAATCAGTGTACATGGTTACATAATTTAATATTTTGTGCTCAGCCAAAACACGTTACCTGAGAACATGTAATAGACTCAAAAGACCTAAAAGTCATTAGATAGAGACAAGACGAATTAAATATCACATTTAAAAACTATAGTGAGATGAGATCCAGTGGTATATGCTTGATGAACTGTCGACATGCGCTGCTCTCACCTGAGGAGGTGTGCTCCCGCTGCACCAGCTGACTGCCTGGGGCTAAGACCTTCGCATACGCTGCAGCGCATGACAGTGTGTGTGTGTGTGGTCACGTGGTGCGTGTTTTCAGCAGTATAGTGTGGACGGAGATCTGTTTAGAAATGCTAGATATAACGCTAGCTTGGACTTGAATCGTTTTTGTTCTGAAGCCGTTTTAAAACTATTCAATTAAAATGTATTAATGTAAATAAGGCGTTAAAGACAGCAGCAAAGGCAAGACTTAAAGGACAAATGTAAGATCACATAATTTAAAAGTATTAAATAATAAAATACAATTTAAAGTGAATTACTTTAATTAATTCAACATTTTTTAATGAATAAGTAAAATATAATTAAAGTGGATACTAAAAAGGCTAAATAGGTGTACATATATT